TTTTTTTTGTCAGAGTGTCTTGGCTTTCCATGCCTGAAATACTCTCAACCCATGGGAACTTTTAATGGAGTTCATGACTCCTGGCTTCTACCTGTCTGCGTTCTGATTGTGTAGGCATTTGAGGAGTGAACCAACAGGTGGAAGATTCTCTTTCTCTACCCCCACCCCCCACCTCTCAAATAAATAACTTTTAAAAATACTATGAATATTTGTTGCTGAACCATTGGGTTGAAGGACATGTGTATTTTAATTCAAAGTATTTTTTAAAGATTTATTTATTTTACTTGAAAGTCACAGTTACACAGAGAGAGAAGGAGAGGCAGAGAGAGAGTGAGAGAGAGAGGTCTTCCTTACGCTGGTTCACTCCCCAAATGGCCGCAATAGCCGGAGCTCAGCCGATCCAAAACCAGGAGCCAGGAGCTTCCTCCGGGTATCTCGCACGGGTGCAGGGGCCCAGGGACTTGGGCCATCTTCTGCTGCTTTCCCAGGCCATAGCAGAGAGCTGGACCAGAAGTGGAGCAGCTGGGACTCGAACCGGCGCCCATATGGGATGCCAGCACTGCAGGCAGCAGCTTTACCCACTATGCCACAGTGTCGGCCCCAATTAAAAGTATTTTTTAAAAGCTCTACCAATTTAGGCTTCTAACAGTGTGTGAAAATGCTTGTCATAATCAAGATACACATATTTTTTATTGTCCAAAAAAGTTTCCTCAGGTACCTTTGCATCTGTGTTAAGGTTTCCTCAGGTGCCTTTGTTAAAGCACCATCTATGTTGCCAGCATCCCTTATAAGTGTCAGTTCAAGTCCTGGCTGCTCCATTCTGATCCAACTCCTTGTTAATGTGCCTAGGAAACCAGCAAAAGATGGCCCAAGTGCTTGGGCTCCTGTTATCAAGTTGGAAGACCCAGATGAACTGGGTCTTTCTGTCTGGCTCACCTCTGGCTGTTGAGGCCATTTGGGGAATAAACCAGTGGATGGACAATCAACCCTACCCACAACTCTGCCTTTCAAATAAATAAAATAAATCATTAAAAAAATCCCAACACTTGCATTCTGATCCCAGGTAACCACTGATCTGCTTTCTTCTATTACAGATTGATTTTACTTTTTCTAGAATTTCACAGAAATGAAATTACTGTGTGCTGTATGTAAGCCTGTATGTCTGTCTTCTTTCGCTCAGAATGTGTCTGAGATCCATCTACATTGTCATGAACAGCACTCATCTGTTGCTTTTTATTGTCAATGAGAATTCCACTGAGTAAATATATCACAATTTGTATACCCACACACTGGTTTTCAGACATTTGGATTTCAGACTGGTTTTCAGACATTTGGATTGTTTCCAGTTTGGCACTATTATAAATGAAGCTCCTGTGAATATTTTCATTTGTATGTGAATGGTTTTACAAAACTATCTCATGGGTAAAGTACCTAGGAGTGGAATTGTTGAGTCATATGGTAAGAGTATGTTAAGCTTCGTAAGAAACAACTAAACTAGGGCTGGTATTGTGTGTGGCACAGTGAATTAAGCTGCCATCCACACTGCAGGAATCCCCACTGCTCCACTTCTCATCCAGCTCCCTGATAAAATGCCTGGGAAAGCAGTGGAAGATGGCCCGAATACTTGGCTCCTGGCTTTGGCCAGGCACAGGCCCAGCCATTGTCGCCATCTGGGGAGAGAACCAGTGGTTGGATTATCTTTCTGTCTCTCCCTCTGACTCTCTGGAACTCTGCCTTTCAAAGAAATAAATCTGGGGCCAGCGCCATGACTCACTTGGTTAATCCTCTGCCTGCAGCGCCGGCATCCCTTTCTCTCTGTCTCTCTCTCTCTCTCTCTCACTGTCTAACTCTATCTGTCAAATAAATTTTTAAAAATAAGAAAGAAGTCTTTTTTTTAATTAAGGAAGAACCCACCAAATTGTTTTTCACAGTAGTAGCTGCATCATTTTATACTCCCACCAGCCATGACAGGGGCCGGCGCTGTGGCATACCAGGTAAAGCCACCTCCTGAAGTACCGGCATCCCATATGGGCACCAGTTTGAGTCCTGGCTGCTCCACTTCTGATCCAGCTCTCTGCTGTGGCCTGGGAAAGCAGTAGAAGATGGCCCAAGTCCTTGGGCCCCTGCACCCATGTGGGAGACCTGGAAGAATCTCTGGCTCCTGGCTAGAGATCAGCGCAGCTCTGGCTGTTGAGGCCAATTGGGGAGTGAACCAGCAGATGGAAGACCTCTCTCTCTCTGCCTTTCCTTCTGTCTCTGTCTAACTCTGACTTTCAAGTAAATAATAAATAAATCTTTAAAAAAAAAAAGAAGAAGGATGGGGAACATGGACAGGAGGGAGGGTAGGGTGAGAAATATCCTGCTCCTAAATCTGTATATATGAATTAGATTTTTTTTATAAAAATATTTATTTATTTGAAAGGTAGATTGCTAGAGAGAGAGAGAGAGAGAGAGCTTCCATATGTTGGTTCACTCCTCAAAAGCCTGCAATAGCCAGGACTATGCCAGGCCAAAGCCAGAAACCTGGAATTCCATCCAGTTCTCCCACATGGGTGGTAGGAACCCACACACTTGGGCCATTAGGTATTGCTTCCCAGGCACATTAACAAGAAGTAGGATGAAGTGCAGAGTAGCTGGGACTCAAACTGGCACTCCAATATGGGATGTGTGCAATAGTGGTGGCTTAACCCACTGTGGCACAAATCCCACTCCATTTCTGCTGTATATGAGTATACAGCATATGTATAGGAGAAAATGCTATATCCAAGGACACACACACACACACAAAACCCACAAGCAACAAACCTCCATGAATATACAGGTGCCTGTGAATGTTGGTTTTTAAATGAAGAAACATTTGACAGGATGAATGAAGAAACATACAACAGGAGACACCCATAACTTTAATGCTGGTTACTTTTGGAGAGGAGTTAACAGCTAGAAACAACATTTTCAGTGTACATTTTTGTACTGTTCAATTAGTATGCAAAATTAGTACTCGGAATAACATCTGCTGAAAATGGAAAACACTGGAAAAATTACTCAAAGTGAAAAACAGTATTTCCACCTTGTTGTGCACCTGATGATGTGGTAGGAAGCAAGACAAATGCATCTCCACTCTCGCAGCACAGCCTGGTGCATACAGCCGAATCCACACATCTTCCGGATGCTTCATCTGCATGCTATGTCTAGAGGGATTTTTTAAATAAGGATAAACCCTCAATACATGTTTGAAACAGAGCCTGGCACCAATGTGATATAAGCTGCTACTGCTATGTCATCTATGAACTGAGAGAATGATTGCCACCACGTTGTCGTGACAATGGCAAAATGTCTTGTCATGTCAAAGTTCATTTCCTTAGCATTTGGCGCCTGGATCCTGGGAGACAGCCATTGAACGTGCCTGGTTTGGTTCTTGCATGTTCAGGGTCTCCTAATTTATCTGGTGTCCTTGGCCTCGCTATCTTTCTGTGTCCAGGGCAGCCCCACCCGCCTTCTCCTCCCCAGGCTGACCTATCTATCACCCCTGCTCAGGACCTAAATTCGGGGCGTCTCCTGAGGCTGCCACTTGACTGCTTGCCTGCATCCAGCTTAGCACAGAGGATACACACACCCTGAGGAGTGTGGGTGAGACAGACACAGCACTGCTGGACTTGAAGGTGAGCCCAGCTCGAAGGAAATGTGACCCCAGAGCAGAGAGTAGGGGTGGGGGTGGAGGGAGCTTCCTTAAGCAGAATGCGAGGATTGGGGGAACTATCCCGGGGCTAAGGCAAAGAAAGCTTAAATTCTCTCTTTCTCTAGACAAGCAGATGGCGCTTCTTCCGACCAATAAGGACCTCATTTCTATGGGCCTGAAGGAATTCAACGTTCTGCTGAATCAGCAGGTAGGCCCAGGCAGTTTGGGTCACACACACAGGCCTGCAGTGTGCTTGGAGTGGGCGCTGAAGGCAGAAAAGGGAGCCTAACTTGCGGCTGGGAGGACAGTGGAGTTAATGGAAACATCTAGAAGGAGAGAGGACAGGAGAGCTCGCAGGGCTCCCGGATCCCATTGCTGACTCTATTCTCGCTTTCCAACCCTCTGCCCCTGCCCGCCCAGGTCTTCAGCGACCCTCTTCTATCCCAGGAGGCCATGCAGACCGTGCTGGATGACTGGGTGAACCTCTACGTCAACTACTACAGGCAGCAGATGACCGGGGAGCAGCAAGAGCTGGACAAGGCTCTGGAGGAGCTTCGGCTAGAGCTGAATGGCCTGGCCAAACCCTTCCTGAACAAATACAGCGTCTTCCTGAAGTCCCGAGAGCACCCAGATCACCAGCTGCCTTCCTCCTAGCCCAAGACCCAGGCCTGCCTGGGGCTCAGAAACCCTTCTGTTCTGGCTCGCGTGCTTCGCGAAGGCGCAATAAAACCCGATACTGGTTTTGCTGGAGTTCCCGGCTCGTCTTTGACCGACCGTCCCGTCCCTAGCTGGTGGAGGCAGTCGGTCCCTTTGCTTTTCAGCCCTCTTTAGATGCCATCTTAGGAGACTTCACTCCTCAGAGCGGAGATCTGCAGCTTTAAGTGTGCACTGGGCGGCCGGCCAGCCAGGGACTAGGGAGAAAGTGCGGGGGCAAGAGGTCGTAGAAAAACTGGGGGGAAATGGGCGGTGGGGAGGGGGGGCTCGTGGTTGGCTTTCGGAAACTGCGCTCCTGGGGCGCGTCAGCCGACGGAGTTGCTTCCAGCCTCCCAGCCCCGCTCATCCTGCGCCACGCAGGTCCGCCGCACCCTGCCCTCGGCCTGAAGGGCACTGAGTCCTCCCTGGCGTCCTGCGGTCCTTTCGCCCCTCGCACTTCAGACTTAGACGCCCTTCTCCTCAAGGCCAGCGCCCCTCGGCCCAGCTCCCCCGCGCCGGGAAGCACAGCGGCCGGCTCTGCCCGCGGCCCCAAGCTTCCCCTGCCACTTCCCGGCCTACACCCGCAGACTCAGCCTCCTTGTTTTAGGACTTCGGGGGTGGGGGCGTGTGCTGCGGGTGGACGGAAGGCTGGGGAGAGGAGGACGACCCGCGAGACGGGGACGGCAGGAGCGGGCCCGGCAGGCGGAGCGCGGGGGCGGAGCACGCGGGGCGGGGGCGGGCCCGGCAGGCGGAGCGCGCGAGGCGGGGGCGGGGGGGGGGGCGGGCCCGGCAGGCGGAGCGCGCGAGGCGGGGCGGGGCGGTGGCCGGGGGGGGCGGGCCCGGCAGGCGGAGCGCGCGGGGCGGGGGCGGGGGCGGGGGGAGCGGGCCCGGCAAGCGGAGCGCGCGAGGCGAGGGCGGGGCGGCGGCGGGGGGGGCGGGCCCGGCAGGCGGAGCGCGCGGGGCGGGGGCGGGGGCGGGGGCGGGCGGGCCCTGCAGGCGGAGCGCGCGAGGCGAGGCGGGGCGGTGGCGGGGGGGGGCGGGCCCGGCAGGCGGAGCGCGCGGGGCGGGGGCGGGGGCGGGGGGGCGGGCCCGGCAAGCGGATGCGCGCGAGGCGAGGCGGGCGGTGGCGGGGGGGGGTGCGGGCCCGGCAGGCGGAGCGCGCGGGGCGGGGCGGGGCGGGGCGGGGGCGGGGGGGGGCGGGGCGGGGGCGGGGGTGCGGGCCCGGCAGGCGGAGCGCGCCAATCACGCGCGGCGTAGGGGGTGTGGCGCGCGCGCGCGCGCGCGCGCGCCTGGACACAGTGGGGCGCTATCCGCGCCTTCTTTGGGGTTTTTGCTTTTGTAGGGGAAAAAAGAGGGGGGAGGCTGAGGAGGGTGTTTCCGTCCCTGTAGGCAGCGGTAGGATCTGTGCCCCTCTTTTTTTAAGTCTCCGCGGCCTGGTTCAGGGTAGAAAGGAAACTGGCGTGGGATCCCCTGGCGTCCTTCTCCGTGAGGAAGCACCTTTGTGTGAATTCGGTGCCGGGCTGAGATGGCAATGGCCGCCTCGAGTAATATAAAGCCTGGTTATAACACACGGAGAAGAATACGTAAAATACATAATTTTCACATAAGCATATTAATGTGTGTGTGTGCAAAATGTAAAAAATACTTAGCTGTATCTGGGAACTCCTGTCAGTAACCCTAGGAAACACACTCTGCCCACATAACTGGCATCCATTCCCGAGAGCAGTGGGCTCCTTGGCCGTGCCCTGGAAAAGATGGGACCCAAAAATTGCCCACGGGGTGCCTCACTGCCATTTCCCTGTGGCCCTTGCCGATGGGGAAGCCCTGGATAGTGCACTTTTACACACCTGGCAAAATACAATCGCCCTGCAATGGGTAGCTGGACTTTAAGTACTGTCAATCAGTATGATGACACTTCTTTCCTTGTCTTTTAATATTATTTATTTATTTGAAGGGCAGGGCGAGAGAGAGAGAGAGAGAAACAGCACCTTCATCTTCTGGTTCACTCCCCAGAAGGCCACACCAGTCCAGGCTGAATCACTTTGAACATCGATGTTGGGCTGTTGGGCTCAGAGGGAGAGGCCGGGTGTGTGTGTATGTGTGTGGCCTGTTGGCTCATCCCTTTGCTGTGGAATGGATGTGAGCGTGTGCTGGGGCCAGTGTCCTGGCACAGAGGCTTAAGCTGCCCTTGCAAGGCCCACAGCCCATGTTGGAGCTCTAGTTCCAGTCCCTGCTGCTCTGCTTCCGAGCCAACTTCCTGCTAGTGCTCCTGGGAAGGCAGCAGATGATGGCCCAAACACTCAGGACCCTGTCACCCCTGTGGGAGACCAGGTTGGAGTTCTGGCTCCTGACTTTTGAAACTCTCCCTCCCCCTCTTCTGTCTCTCTGCCTTTCAAAAAATAAACAATGAATAAATAAATATATTTTGTTAATAACCGGTCCATTGGTCTGTTTACTGAAATATTTCCTGGTTTTTTTTTTTTCCTGCTACAATGAATCAATTCCTGCGCTAGGTGAGGTACCATCCACATCAAATAAACACAGAATTGAAGAACTTTAGCAAGTAAAAGTGGCGTACAGCCCTTCCCAAAGAACAAATTACAGGCTTCGGTAAGTATTTCTTTTCCTGAAGTGAGTCTGAACTTTTGTTCTCTTGAGACATTCTGTCTTAAGGTCCAAGGACTAATTTGTGTTTATAAACTGCTTTGTATTCTGTATTACTAGTTGTGTCTTTTCAAAAATGTTTTTCCTGCTCTGTTTTTTTTTTAAAGCAATACATATTTATAATGGAAAATTGGAACACTCAGAAAATGGAATGTAGGAGAAAATATCCTTTTTCTCACCACCTATTCACCTATTGACTTGCTTTATATTTTCTTTCTTCCAGTGTTTCTTACGTTTTTTAAAATGTTATTTATTTGAAACGCAGAGAGATAAAGAGAGAGATCTTCCATCCACTGGTTCCCTCTCTAAATACCACAGCCAGGGCTGGGCCAGGCTGAAGCAAGGAGCCCAGAATGCAATCCAGGTCTCCCATGATCCAAGTACTTGAGTCATCAGCTGCTGCTTCCCAGGGTGCCCCTCGGCAGGAAGCAAATCAGAAATGGACCTAGGGCTTAATCTTAAGACACTCCTACATAGGACAAGCTACATCTTAACTAACTACTGCACCAAATGTCCTACCCTTCCTTAAATTAATATTTTTAACTTAAGTGATTTACATTTTTTAAAGATTTATTTATTTATTTGAAAGGCAGAGTTACAGTAGATTAAGCTGCTGCTTGCAATGCTGGCATTCCTTAGTAGAGTACAGGTTCAAGTCCCAGCTACTCTGCTTCCTGCTAATGTACCCGGGAAGGCAGAGTGTTAGTTCAAGTGCTTGGACCCATGATCCATGTGGGAAACTTGAATGGAATCCCACTCCTGACTTTCTGGCCCAGCCCTGGCTCTTGCAGCCATCTAGGGGGTGAACCAGCAGATGAAAGATCTCTGTTTCTGTCTCTCCCTTTCAGTTACTCTGCCTTTCAAATAAATAAATAAATAAATCATAATTTCTGTGTAGCACTGTATTGTAATTCTACCCCTTTACCCGTCAATGCAGTAAGCCAACTTTCCAACTGTTAGGAAACTGGCGCAGTTGTAGCCAGGTGGCCACATGGCCCAGCTACCTGAGCCAGGCTCCACCCCCATCCTAATGGTATTCGCTGCTCCTGCTTCCCTGCCCGCCCTCAGGCAAAGTTTTAAAAGGGCCTGTTCCTGAACACGTGCTCTCTTGGCTCTTGGCTCTTCTCTCTGGCCCTTCTCTCCTGTTCTCTCTCGGTTCCTCTCTCTAGCCTCCTCCTCTGAGCTCTTGGCCCTTCTCTCCTGCTCTCTCTCGGTCCTTCTCTCCTGCGCTCTCTTGGCCTCTCTTGGCTTCTCTCCTCTCTTTTCTCCCTCCTCTGTCTCTCTCTCTTACAGTCTCCTTCTCTTTTTCCTTCGCCGCCCCTTCACTCCGGTCTGTAGGGTGTTCCCCAATAAACCCTTTCCCTTACTCCGGTGTCCGGTGTGCTTTGCAACGGCTAACATTAAGATATAACACCAGTAATGCACCAGTGTCTAATCCAGGACCAGGAAGGAGGAGACGCCAGGTGGAAATTGAGTTGCACATGAAAGCACCATTGATGTGGCGGAGTAGGGTTTATTGTCTCATTCCAGGTCATTGCCTTGTACCTAGAGAAGCATTCTAAGTACAGGCTCATATAGGCGCACAAAGTGATAAAGTTTACTTAACAGGTGAGAAAGCGTGCACACAACACAAGTACACGGGTTGCCCCACAGAGATACCCACATGAGTAGGAAGAGAGCCCAGAAGAAGAGGGGATGCAGAGAGAAAGCAGCCCAGCACCTGCTCCAGTCATGGTCTCCAGCAGAACAGCCCTCTCCCCAGTTGCCCTTCTCTTGTATGAGGTGGGAAGTGGGAGTGGTAATTTGCATGGTGCCTCCCCTCCAGGTTCCAGATGGAGGGGATATTTCCTGGGAAACAGCATTTTGAATGACAAGGAGGAGGGTACTTGGGGTGGGTGTGGGTGTGGCTTGTGACTTCCTGCTCCCTGGTCCTAACCTAGCTACTTGCCTATCCCATTCTGGGTTCAAGTCCCAGCTCTGTTTCCTATTCCAGCTTCCTGCTAATGGCACCCTGGGAGGCAGCAGGTTGTAAGTGGTTGGGTCCCTGACACTCATGTGGGAGAACTGTATTGGGTTCTGTGCCTTGATTGTTGAAGGTGTTTGGGGAGTGAACCAGCAAGTTGATTTCTCTCTGTGTGTCTCTGCTTCTCAAACAAATAAAATATTTTTTTAAAACCTGTTTTTACAAATGCTAGTAGGAAGGATCTTTAAGATTTTGTTTAATGATTTTTTTTTTCACAAGACGGGGAAGTGCAATTCACGTATTAAAGGCACACAAAGTAGGAGTTTGTTTTTGCCCTGGGGTTGGTGACCACAGGTGGGTGTTGAGAATTTCCCCAGCAGACACACACAGTGGCTTTTTGTTAAAAGCCAAAGGGTTGGTGCGGAGCTGG